AGTTATGAATTTTTTTTTGTACTTTTTCAAATATTTTGGTCTTTTTAATACAAGCGGGTGGGAACACAGGCAATTTAAAGTTTATTGAAAAAAATCGCAATTGTCATAATTTGAAAACCGTTGAAAACCAATGATCCCTCTTTAATTTCAGTGTTACATCCCGAGCAGAAGGCAATTTTATAGGTTAGGTTATAGAATTTTGGAGGAATGGTAGGCTGATTATGGTCAAGTTGGTAAAGCTTGACCTTTATTTTTAAGTAGGATCGTTTGTACTTGTCAAAACTACGGGTTTTGCGTTAACAACAAATAATAATATTCCCTTTTAACAATGTTTATTAAATATTCAAATAATGTTTACAAATAGTTACATAAATGTTACTTACTTTTATTACAGATTAGTCGTAGGATACAGGTTATAGCGCTGGTCGGTATAAGTTTGGTTTCAAGATGTTATTTCAATTGAATGAAACTAAGAAAGTTTGTTATGTTACACTTATGTAACTTTCACAACTTTAGGGTTTTTGCGTTTGTTTCAAGAGCTAGTACTGCTTCTAAGTGTTACTTATCGTCACTTGCACCTATTACGGAAAGAAACTTGTTTCTAAGTGTGAGAAAAGCATCTTGCACAATAATCGAGTACAACGCGGACTGAATTGCCGATTAAAGAAAGAATTAGTGAAAAGCTACAATTAATGAAACTTGACACGCAAAATACGACAGTTAATACATTTAAAATTATTGATTCTAAGTGTCAATTTGCTCTTCTTGCACCTTTTACGGAAAGAAACTTGTTTCTAAGTGAATAACAAAATAGACTTGCACGATAATCGAGTACAACGCGGATTGAATTGCCGATTAAAGAAAGAATACAATAAATTTTATTTAACTGAAGGGTCGCTCTACAATGACTATTGGTCTATAAAACCGCACCGGAACATTTGACAAGCTTAGTGGAGAAAGCTTTGGCTTATATACTCTAAAAATGACAAAAAGTGGGAAAATTCGTAGTTAGTTATGGGGGTAAAGTATGTTATCTACTAGGAATTTAGGACTGTTCGTCTTAATTCTATTTATAAGTTGTTTTGAAGAAGGAGCGCACATTCCTTCATAAGTGACCTAATAATTATGCCATATATGGAAAGTGAAGATCAAATTACATGCTGTTGTCTAGGAGTAACATCTCGCGATAACGATACTACAAGCCCGAGCTTGCGTCGCTCGTCCTTGGCATGGCGCATCGCTTTTCACCTACTTTCATCTATAACATTCCTACGTTGCTTGCTTATCGCGCTTCTTGAGGCTTGCAAAATTTCATGTTTTAACAGCAACAAGAATTGTTCAGATTTCTCTTAAGTTACTGATATTGTTGTTATTACATCTATAGATTATTATATATTTAGTCTTGAATTAAAATACACAATATTTGTGTTTTATGTCTTAATTAATTTTTACTTAATTTGGAAAAATTAAAATTATGCAGAAATAAGGATGTTACTGGGATGTAACAGTCCTCCCTCCTTAAATCTTTCATCGTCCCGATGAAATAACAATTTTAATTGTCTGTAACTTTATAGGAGTTATGAAATATGAAATTGAGACTATCATACAATGCCCTAGTTCTTCTTGATGAAATTACGTTGCTCATTAGCAATGCGGACATCTCTTTCTTATCGATGATACGAAGACAACAAGTTTGGTGAATCGTTATCAACAATACGCTATAATGTGTGATGGGTGTTATGTTGTGAAAAGTGTCATGATTATCTTCTTGAGGTAGGTATGATTTTCATCTTCTTAGAATAGTCAATGACCGCTTTTGGAATGCTCAAGTGGAGATGGATTGTTGACAACATCCTCTTCATCCCCATGTGATGTGGTAAGTATCGGGCGTCTTCAGTATTTGATTTGTTGCGAAGGAGAGTTCATTGTTACAAAAGTGAGTGCAGTAAATTTATTTAACGTTCATGTTTTTATTTAGTTTGAAGTTAATTCAAAAATCGTTGTTGTTGTTTTTTTTTTTACAGTGCCTTATGGAAAAATGTGTGCGACAAATTTAGTTTCCTTTTTCTTGACCTTGCAAAGATTAGCAGCGTCAATTTTTTATTCTTTGGATGAAATTGACGTTCTAGAGGAAATGAGCAAGCCTGGTCGACGTAAGAAGGATGCTACTTCAAATTTTATGATTGACCCAAAAACAAGGAAGGCTTCTCTAGTCCGATTAAAAAAGGAAGCTAAAGATGAGTCTCGAACGATGACAAGAATGTTCAATTCCTTATTGTAAGTTTAAAATTTTTCTTTCTCTTTTTATTTATAATAAAGCCCGCTCTTTTTTTTGTTTTGTTTGTTAATATCAATGCATATATTTATATACTTAGTCGTGCTGGTCGTCCGGAAGGATGTTTTTGTGGTGAATGTCAACTTCCTATGGTCGAAATTCCTCGATCGGAGTTTCATTCTTTTGATCATTCATCGGGGGAAAGTGAAAGTTAGTTTTGTCTCTTCTTTCCTTTTCTGTTATAATTTTATATATACACCTATATATAGTATTAAAATTTTTCTCTCTCTTTTTTTTTGTTTCTACTGATGTGCAAGGCATGAGACTGTCTGGGATGTCACAACATTTTTTATCTGGATTTGCGGAAATTCCTGTTGAAACTCAATTCAGCTCTTCACCGGAACCACAGGCAGGACCGTCGTCGGAACCACAGACAGGTGTTTCATGGGAACCTCAGGCAGGACCGTCGTCAGAACCACAGACAGGTGTTTCATGGGAACCTCAGGCAGGACCGTCGTCGGAACCACAGACAGGTAAATATCAATTGATGAATATATATATTTCCTTACCGTTGTGTTTGTTGTTATGATTCAAAAAAAAACTTTTTAAATTAATTGGATTTGTTTGTTTATTTCAGTTACAGGTGTCAAACGTGAATCTGATGGGGAGATAATTTGTCCCAAAATTAAACTAAGGAAATTGGACTCACTTTTTGAAACAAATACTCCGCTATTCAGTAGCAATGCATTGTGGTATAAACTGCCAGAATGTCCACCTGGTGAAGATGAGGATCCCCTAAAACTTCCTCTATGTGTTTGTGGAAATTGTTGTTTTTAAAACTCCTCTTCTTTATTTTTTTTTTTTTACACATATATACATATATAATTTTTAGTATAAATATTTCAGTATGACTTGATTTTTATAGTATGAATGCAAGAGTGTTTTTTGAATAAATTTGATACATTTCCATAAATTTATGGTTTTTAATATTACCTGAACACATATATCTCTCCTTTTTCTTTTAAAGCTACTTATTATTATCTTATTTATTTACAATATTTTTTGATTAATTATATTATTCCAATATTTTACAATTTTTTTATTTACTAAAAGTTGAAAATAAAATTTTAATTTTAAACCTTTTTAATTTATCTATTTACTTCAATATTATAAAATTAATTAAAATTAAAATATTTAAATAAATTAATAATTAACTATGACAGTTTTTCAAAACTGAAGCTGTTTACAAATATATTATGGTCCAAAAATTGAAATTTGAAGGTTTCGTATTAGAATTCTTATTAGGGTTATATATTCTCTCAAGAAGCATGATTTGCATACAGGGATGACGTTTGTGACGCAAGCTATACACAAGCGCGATGATATAGCGAGTCGAATGGTTCTAGCTTCGCTCGGTGTAAGGAGAGAGACGCAAGATCCGAGGAGTGAGCATTGAATAGTGGGCGTGGGACTGACCACTCCTTACGCGGCGCGTATCCTCCTTACTCTTCCTAATCGCCCGATACTCAAGACTAGACAACAGCTCCTTTTAATCGCTCAATTTGTTTATAATAATTGTTTAATATATGAAATTAATGTTTTCTTTTGTTTCTTTGCTTACTATTATTAAAATTAATTTAATTAAACAATTATTACAAATTGTTGATTTATTAGATAATTAGTTATTAATATGTTTTAATAATATAATTATATAAATAAAATAAATAATAGAATATAATAGTTTATGGAGTTATAATTGTTAATTAATTATTGTTTTATAGTTATTCGTTAGTTTTTTTTTGTTTAAATCAGTTAATTTTATTATAATTATGTTAATTAAATTAATTATTAAACTGACTAATTAAAATATTATTATTTATTTATTTATTTTTTTATTAATTTTTTTTTTTTAAGGTTAATATTTAAGCATAATTTGCTAATAAGTATATAAGCGTATTTGTTAGTAACATGTTAATTGATTAGCTGAATTAAAATTCATATAATTTTTTTTTTGTCTTAGCAAGCTTTCAACATTTGCCTTTATCATGGAAGAACGGTATTTGAATTTTTAAATTTAAACTTTTTGCGCACATAAGGAATGGGTGGGAACTAGCTTTTAAATATTATTTATAAAATTTTTTAAAACATATTTTTTTTTGCTAGATTAGCTTGCATTTAAATTTTATCGAAATATGAATTTTTTTTAATTTTCACGTTTTTCAGTTTACTGATACGGGCGTGTGGGAACACTGACTATTAAAAGTTTATTAAAAAATTCGCAATGGTCAACATTTGAAAAGCAATAATTCCTCTTTAATTCCAGACAAAAAAAAATTGGTCAAAAATTACTTCAGTTACGAATTTTTTTTTTACTTTTTTACATTTTTAGGTGTTTTGAAACGGGAGGATGAGAACGCTGGCTATTAAAAGTTTATAAAAAAAATTCGCAGAGGTCCCCATTTAAAGAGCAATAATTCCTCCTTAATTTCTGACATTGAAAACAAAATTTGGTCGAAAATTGTTCGAGTTATGAATTTTTTTTGTACTTTTTCAAATTTCTCGGTTTTTCTAATACGAGCAGGTGGGAGCGCTGGTTATTAAAAGTTTATTACAAAAAAATTGCAATGGTCGTAATTTGAAAAGCAATAATCCCTCTTTAATTTCTGATAAGAAAAAAAAATTAGTCGAAAATTGTTCGAGTTATGAATTTTTTTTTGTACTTTTTCAAATATTTTGGTCTTTTTAATACAAGCGGGTGGGAACACAGGCAATTTAAAGTTTATTGAAAAAAATCGCAATTGTCATAATTTGAAAACCGTTGAAAACCAATGATCCCTCTTTAATTTCAGTGTTACATCCCGAGCAGAAGGCAATTTTATAGGTTAGGTTATAGAATTTTGGAGGAATGGTAGGCTGATTATGGTCAAGTTGGTAAAGCTTGACCTTTATTTTTAAGTAGGATCGTTTGTACTTGTCAAAACTACGGGTTTTGCGTTAACAACAAATAATAATATTCCCTTTTAACAATGTTTATTAAATATTCAAATAATGTTTACAAATAGTTACATAAATGTTACTTACTTTTATTACAGATTAGTCGTAGGATACAGGTTATAGCGCTGGTCGGTATAAGTTTGGTTTCAAGATGTTATTTCAATTGAATGAAACTAAGAAAGTTTGTTATGTTACACTTATGTAACTTTCACAACTTTAGGGTTTTTGCGTTTGTTTCAAGAGCTAGTACTGCTTCTAAGTGTTACTTATCGTCACTTGCACCTATTACGGAAAGAAACTTGTTTCTAAGTGTGAGAAAAGCAACTTGCACAATAATCGAGTACAACGCGGACTGAATTGCCGATTAAAGAAAGAATTAGTGAAAAGCTACAATTAATGAAACTTGACACGCAAAATACGACAGTTAATACATTTAAAATTATTGATTCTAAGTGTCAATTTGCTCTTCTTGCACCTTTTACGGAAAGAAACTTGTTTCTAAGTGAATAACAAAATAGACTTGCACGATAATCGAGTACAACGCGGATTGAATTGCCGATTAAAGAAAGAATACAATAAATTTTATTTAACTGAAGGGTCGCTCTACAATGACTATTGGTCTATAAAACCGCACCGGAACATTTGACAAGCTTAGTGGAGAAAGCTTTGGCTTATATACTCTAAAAATGACAAAAAGTGGGAAAATTCGTAGTTAGTTATGGGGGTAAAGTATGTTATCTACTAGGAATTTAGGACTGTTCGTCTTAATTCTATTTATAAGTTGTTTTGAAGAAGGAGCGCACATTCCTTCATAAGTGACCTAATAATTATGCCATATATGGAAAGTGAAGATCAAATTACATGCTGTTGTCTAGGAGTAACATCTCGCGATAACGATACTACAAGCCCGAGCTTGCGTCGCTCGTCCTTGGCATGGCGCATCGCTTTTCACCTACTTTCATCTATAACATTCCTACGTTGCTTGCTTATCGCGCTTCTTGAGGCTTGCAAAATTTCATGTTTTAACAGCAACAAGAATTGTTCAGATTTCTCTTAAGTTACTGATATTGTTGTTATTACATCTATAGATTATTATATATTTAGTCTTGAATTAAAATACACAATATTTGTGTTTTATGTCTTAATTAATTTTTACTTAATTTGGAAAAATTAAAATTATGCAGAAATAAGGATGTTACTGGGATGTAACAGTCCTCCCTCCTTAAATCTTTCATCGTCCCGATGAAATAACAATTTTAATTGTCTGTAACTTTATAGGAGTTATGAAATATGAAATTGAGACTATCATACAATGCCCTAGTTCTTCTTGATGAAATTACGTTGCTCATTAGCAATGCGGACATCTCTTTCTTATCGATGATACGAAGACAACAAGTTTGGTGAATCGTTATCAACAATACGCTATAATGTGTGATGGGTGTTATGTTGTGAAAAGTGTCATGATTATCTTCTTGAGGTAGGTATGATTTTCATCTTCTTAGAATAGTCAATGACCGCTTTTGGAATGCTCAAGTGGAGATGGATTGTTGACAACATCCTCTTCATCCCCATGTGATGTGGTAAGTATCGGGCGTCTTCAGTATTTGATTTGTTGCGAAGGAGAGTTCATTGTTACAAAAGTGAGTGCAGTAAATTTATTTAACGTTCATGTTTTTATTTAGTTTGAAGTTAATTCAAAAATCGTTGTTGTTGTTTTTTTTTTACAGTGCCTTATGGAAAAATGTGTGCGACAAATTTAGTTTCCTTTTTCTTGACCTTGCAAAGATTAGCAGCGTCAATTTTTTATTCTTTGGATGAAATTGACGTTCTAGAGGAAATGAGCAAGCCTGGTCGACGTAAGAAGGATGCTACTTCAAATTTTATGATTGACCCAAAAACAAGGAAGGCTTCTCTAGTCCGATTAAAAAAGGAAGCTAAAGATGAGTCTCGAACGATGACAAGAATGTTCAATTCCTTATTGTAAGTTTAAAATTTTTCTTTCTCTTTTTATTTATAATAAAGCCCGCTCTTTTTTTTGTTTTGTTTGTTAATATCAATGCATATATTTATATACTTAGTCGTGCTGGTCGTCCGGAAGGATGTTTTTGTGGTGAATGTCAACTTCCTATGGTCGAAATTCCTCGATCGGAGTTTCATTCTTTTGATCATTCATCGGGGGAAAGTGAAAGTTAGTTTTGTCTCTTCTTTCCTTTTCTGTTATAATTTTATATATACACCTATATATAGTATTAAAATTTTTCTCTCTCTTTTTTTTTGTTTCTACTGATGTGCAAGGCATGAGACTGTCTGGGATGTCACAACATTTTTTATCTGGATTTGCGGAAATTCCTGTTGAAACTCAATTCAGCTCTTCACCGGAACCACAGGCAGGACCGTCGTCGGAACCACAGACAGGTGTTTCATGGGAACCTCAGGCAGGACCGTCGTCAGAACCACAGACAGGTGTTTCATGGGAACCTCAGGCAGGACCGTCGTCGGAACCACAGACAGGTAAATATCAATTGATGAATATATATATTTCCTTACCGTTGTGTTTGTTGTTATGATTCAAAAAAAAACTTTTTAAATTAATTGGATTTGTTTGTTTATTTCAGTTACAGGTGTCAAACGTGAATCTGATGGGGAGATAATTTGTCCCAAAATTAAACTAAGGAAATTGGACTCACTTTTTGAAACAAATACTCCGCTATTCAGTAGCAATGCATTGTGGTATAAACTGCCAGAATGTCCACCTGGTGAAGATGAGGATCCCCTAAAACTTCCTCTATGTGTTTGTGGAAATTGTTGTTTTTAAAACTCCTCTTCTTTATTTTTTTTTTTTACACATATATACATATATAATTTTTAGTATAAATATTTCAGTATGACTTGATTTTTATAGTATGAATGCAAGAGTGTTTTTTGAATAAATTTGATACATTTCCATAAATTTATGGTTTTTAATATTACCTGAACACATATATCTCTCCTTTTTCTTTTAAAGCTACTTATTATTATCTTATTTATTTACAATATTTTTTGATTAATTATATTATTCCAATATTTTACAATTTTTTTATTTACTAAAAGTTGAAAATAAAATTTTAATTTTAAACCTTTTTAATTTATCTATTTACTTCAATATTATAAAATTAATTAAAATTAAAATATTTAAATAAATTAATAATTAACTATGACAGTTTTTCAAAACTGAAGCTGTTTACAAATATATTATGGTCCAAAAATTGAAATTTGAAGGTTTCGTATTAGAATTCTTATTAGGGTTATATATTCTCTCAAGAAGCATGATTTGCATACAGGGATGACGTTTGTGACGCAAGCTATACACAAGCGCGATGATATAGCGAGTCGAATGGTTCTAGCTTCGCTCGGTGTAAGGAGAGAGACGCAAGATCCGAGGAGTGAGCATTGAATAGTGGGCGTGGGACTGACCACTCCTTACGCGGCGCGTATCCTCCTTACTCTTCCTAATCGCCCGATACTCAAGACTAGACAACAGCTCCTTTTAATCGCTCAATTTGTTTATAATAATTGTTTAATATATGAAATTAATGTTTTCTTTTGTTTCTTTGCTTACTATTATTAAAATTAATTTAATTAAACAATTATTACAAATTGTTGATTTATTAGATAATTAGTTATTAATATGTTTTAATAATATAATTATGTAAATAAAATAAATAATAGAATATAATAGTTTATGGAGTTATAATTGTTAATTAATTATTGTTTTATAGTTATTCGTTAGTTTTTTTTTGTTTAAATCAGTTAATTTTATTATAATTATGTTAATTAAATTAATTATTAAACTGACTAATTAAAATATTATTATTTATTTATTTATTTTTTTATTAATTTTTTTTTTTTAAGGTTAATATTTAAGCATAATTTGCTAATAAGTATATAAGCGTATTTGTTAGTAACATGTTAATTGATTAGCTGAATTAAAATTCATATAATTTTTTTTTTGTCTTAGCAAGCTTTCAACATTTGCCTTTATCATGGAAGAACGGTATTTGAATTTTTAAATTTAAACTTTTTGCGCACACTCGGACGTTCTCGCATAAATTCGAATTTGAGAATAAGAGTATAGAACGTTCGAGTGATCACTTTCGCTTGAGTGCTTGGAGGTGAAGGCAGAAACCCGATACGGGGTGAGTAGCAATTTACGTAAATCAATGTGAAATAAAAGAATGCTTTTAATAATGCTGTATTTAAATATTGTATAGTTTCGGTGTGGGTGTAAGATAGCTTTAATGCGGATAGGGAGAGAAGAGGGCGGACCTCTATTTTTTTGACTAAAACATATTGACCAGACGAAGGCGGCGTGCTGCTAATTATTTCTGTATACTGCGACGAAAGGAAAAGTCAACCATTTCTCCCGTTTCCGTGCTTGCTGCTCATCACCAATAAGCTATAAAAAAGATAAGTCCAAGACTCAATTAAAATCAAAGCATTTGTAAAATTTTGAATGTAAAGTTATCTGATCTGGAGCAAAAGTATATGTGTGTGTTATTGTACGTAAAATCAGCTGTGTCCTTTTATGATTGAACAAGGATAAAAAATCAATTTGTGATTTTCTATCCAGAAAAATATAAAAATATAATAAAATTTGTAATTTTTTCAGAACTTAATTTTGTCTTTATCATTTTTTCTTTTTGCTCAAAATTTGCAATCCACGAACACCTGAGATAAAATAAAATAAAATATAAAAATTAATTTAACTAATAAATAGCTACAAGTAAAAAAAATTCGTAACTGAAACAATTTTTGAGTAATTTTTTTTCTTTGCCTGGAATTAAAGAAGGATTATTGCTTTTCAAATTTTGACCATTGCGAATTTTTTAATAAACTTTTAATAGTCAGTGTTCCCTCACGTCCGTTTCAGTAAACTGAAAAACGTGAAAATTAAAAAAAAATTCATATTTCGATAAAATTTAAATGCAAGCTGATCTAGCAAAAAAATATGTTTTGAAAAATTTTATAAATAATATTTAAAAGCTAGTGCCCCACCCATTCCTTATTAGAAACGTCTAAATGATCAGTTTCCAGTGAATCCAAGCAAATTTTTCAAATTTGTCCGCCATGTTAGATCCGCCATTTTGAATTTTAAAAATTTGACATCGGATTCATGATCAGCGACCCTTAAAACCCCCGAGTAATCAGTTTCAAGTAAATCTAAGCAAATTTTACAAATTTGTCCGCCATATTGGATCCGCCATTTTGAGTTTTGAAAATCTGACATCGGATTCGTGATCAGCGACCCAAAAAACGTAAGAGTTAGCTATTATTCAGCAAATTATAACTATTTTTGCAAACTACTATGTAAATTTTTTCCCATAATTTGTAATAAAGTTTACAAAAAGAGTCGCAGTAATGACGCCATTTTGAATTTTCGATTTTGACACTTTTCATTTGAAGCAGTATAAGCATACGAGTATTTTGATCTATAATAAGTAGATTTTCATTGGAAAACATTTTGGGCAGAGCTTTGGTCAGTTTGACGTGGAACGTCCCATAATGCAAAAAAGTAATGAGTAGAGAAAAAATGGAGATGTAATTAGATCGTGTGTGTCCGGTTGTGTTTTCCTCTTTTGTTCTCACGGTTAAAATTTGCAAACTTGCAAATGTGTTTTGTTACAAGAGTTTGCCTCTCGTCATTTTCCTCAGTTTTTGTCTGTTCTTTGGTGAGAAGTTCGTTTGTGAAATTGTGTAAAAAAATGGCCGGACTCAAGGACTTCTAGAATTTTTGAAGAAAAAATACTTAGCTGAAGAGGATGAAAAAATTAAATCTGGTGATTTTGGGTAGGTTTTGTTTGCATTTGTTTTTTTTTATAAAAAAACTTGTTGTTACATTGAGAAAACAAATTATTTGATTCAAACAAATTTTGTGCAAATCAAATTTAAAATTTCTTTTCTTTTAAATAAAATTATGTTTAAAATTTTATGTTTGAATCAAACTAAGAGTTGACTACATATAATTTTAAAATCAATCACAATTTAGGTTTGATTTTCATATATAATCTCTTAAAATAAACCAGAAATTATGTTTGAATTAAATATGATTATTTTATCAATGATATTTTGCATTGATATAGCAGATATTTTCTATATATTGAGATTAAATTTACAAATTAACTTCAAATAAACAAAATTGTCTGACATTGTTTTTGGGTTTTATTTAAATATAATGTTTTCTCAGTGTACTGTAAATTAAAATTGTATAATTAATTATTATAAAAAAATGTTTTTTTTGTTTGTTTTGTTTTAGGCGCAGGGTGTTTTTCTCAGAGTGGGTCAATGCGGCTTCAAGGGAAAATCCGAATGCATTGTGGCCTTGCAAGACCGCATTATCTACAACTCGAAATTACGTGTGTGAAGGGGCGGAGTGGGTCCTGGGAGGAGCGCCGATACAAGGTGCGGTATTTTTGGTGCCCCCGGAACTTCTCTATGCCCACTATTTGTGATCAAGCGGACGACGAACTTGTAAAAGGGATAGTTGGTTGCTTAGGGATTAACGTGTATATACGGTGAGTAGTTGAAAAAGGAAAAAAAATGTAATAAAAATATTTCTAGATTTAGAACAAAAAAATTTTGTATGTGTGTTTTTTTGTTTTAGGTCTTTTTCCAGCTTGCTAATTTTGCCTCCAGTTCGTGGATTTAAACCTAAAAACGCTATTTTTGAGCTGGTGTATGTGCAGCGATACAGAAGAGATTGGGAGGAGTTGGTTTTAACATATTCAGGATGGGAATTTGTAAGTTACTTATTTTTTTATAATTATTTAGAAAAACAAATTTTACTAATTTATTGTTATTATATTTTTTTTAAATCTGTTTCAGCGGTGGAAATTGAATGTGTCCTTCATATGGGTTCCTCAGTGAGTTGCTGATGTAATATTTGTATTACTTCATTTTTAAATATTATGACTATTTTTATTATATATATATAATTTTTTTTTTAAATTTGATTTGGTTATGATAAGATTTTAAATTACTTTATAAATTATAAATTTATAAATAAATTATAAGTTTTATAATATAAAAATTTGATTAACTAAATTATGCCATTTTGAAATGTTGAATTGTTAATATTTTTGTTTTGTTCTTGCAATTCAGTTTTTTTATTGCTTTATTGTGTAGTAAAAACGTATAAAAGAAAATGGAAATTAAAAAAAATATTTAAAAAAATATATTATTGGTATTTTTTTGTACTCCTTATTTCCCTTTTTGTTTTTTTTAAGAAAAATAAAATTTTGAGTCAATTTTATACTTTTTTGATATAAAAAAGATGAAATATTGTTCAATTTTAATTGAATTTTAATTTGCTAAATGTAAAAAGAAATGATAGAAAAAATTTTAATTAGGAAAATATTTTTAATTAATATTCAAAATTTTGAATTTTTTTTTAAAACTTCTACTTTACGTTTTTTTTAATGTGAAAACACTCAAATATTTTTATCTTTATTAATAAAATTTAAGAAAATTATGGTGTTATTTTAAAAAAAAATTAATTATTAGGGGAGAGGGCCCCAAGATGGACATTTCCTATAAAATTTTTGTTTAAAGTGACAACATCTTCTCAATTTTTTTATTTTTGTTGTTTGTATAGACGAAGATTTTTATGCATATTTGAAAAATAAAACCAGTTTTTTTTCTACTGCGCATATCACCTGAATTTTTTGTCAAAAAAAGTTTTATTTCCGATTTTTCTCAAGTCGATAAAGTTATTTAAATTTTTGATTTTAGATAGGTATTTATCGTTATAATATTATTTATTTATCATATAATAATATTCTAAAATGATTTTATTAATATTTTGTTTGTATACAATTTTTTTCTGGGTTTCAAAATATGGTGTCATTTACCCTAAGATGGACACTTTCGAGACCCTAAGATGGACACCACATTTCAATGTATTTATTTTCATGCTTTCGATTACACATTTTTTAAATAATTTTGTAAGCCTCGTAATTG